CTCAAAAATGTCTTCCCTAGTCTGTCTATCCTAACGATATCCCTTCCCGCCTTTTCAACCCACCGTTAGTAAGCATCCCACCTTAGCTAGGCAGCTCTCGTAGAAGCCTTCGAGCACGTAGCACTGCTGTGGCGAGCTCATGAAGGACGTGTCGAGCCAGGATTGCAAGCCGGTAACTTCACTGCTGAGGGCCGTGCCCTCCCACGCAGCCGATGAAAAATCGCCGAAGGTTTTTTTTTTTGGATAAAGAGCACATCTCCGTCCTTTCCTCTCTATTCCATGCCTCAAACATCTCCCTGTACGTCCCATCTATTTTTCCCAGCTCAGTCACGTACACTTCCCTCTCCTTTTTGTACAACGGACATTCCGCGACTACATGAACACGGTCTTCGCATTCCAAGCCGCAATCACATTTGAAGTCGTCGTCTTCGTCGTCTGGGGGGGCGAGACGTTTTGTGTACTGGCGATCCAACTTGGGTCTACGGTAGACAAGGACTAGCAAATTATCGTTGAGAAGTTCCCTCTGGACCGCCTTCGCAAGGGTTGTATTAATCGTTGTATTTGAAAATAGAGAGGGGGGTTGTAGCCCTAACCCTACCCTCCAACCGCAACCCGAAACCCCTATCAAAACCAAGATTAAGTATTTTCGCGAGGGCTACAGACTACTGTTGCATCTTGGACAGGCACAAACGTTTCCCCCGTTGTTCATCATGCGCCTTGTCATCGCCTACGGTAGATTTGCAGCGAACCATGGTTGAATCTTTCTCTCGCATCCCTCGATAAACCTTTCCTCCTTCGTTCATCATGCGCCTTGTCGTGGCCTACGGTAGATTAACGGTAAAAACATCGTCGAATCCTTCGCTCTCATGAGGCCACAAAACCTTAACCTTTCCTTCCCCCGTTTTTGTTTCACCACACGCCTTGTTGTGCGAGAAAAGGTGACATCGAGGCCCGAGACAAGGGGTCTCTGATCGCCCACGAGAACGGCGTGGCGACCCCGTTCGGCATCGCTGGGGCTCAGAGCCGCGGGGTGATGATGGTGTCGGCGAAGGACGAGATCTACCGCGATATGATCGTCGGGTTGCATCAGCGCCCGGGGGACCTCAGGGTCAACATCTGTAAGGTGTGTGCATGGCCAGAAAAGCACAGGCGAAAAAGCTTATGCACGGAACGCACGGCTCCTGCGCGATCACAAGAGGGAAAACGTTGCAAATAGTAGAGTGTATTTGTTCCCGATTAAGTGCCGGTTGAATAAGGCTGGCCTGTGAATGACGGTGAAATCGTTTGGCACAGACTTGATAGTCAAGTTGTGTCATTCTGTGAAATGTTGCCGATTGCCCGCTACTGTACCGGTGCTATCTGTCTGCGGTGTCATTTTTTGTATTTTTGTTGCCCGGGTGGTATCCGCTCGAACTCGCTTCGATTGGCATCGGCGCTATCTGTCGGTGCGTTTAGGGTAGCGTGTTGCTTCAGCGAGTACCAAACCTGGACAAAACTTGTTCATTTATGCAAATGATGCCTCCGGAGTGGGCTCATGAGAGCGCAGTGCCACCAATCAAGGGGTGATGCAAGATGAATGTAGTATCAGGCAGTCAGGACCAACTCGCAACGGACTGCCAGCTTGAGTTGTGACGTTTCCCAAGCTCGACAGCCACACACAGCTGGCTCGTGTTTTTGACTCGCAGAGCCCAGCGACCTCGACGACCCCATAAAAAATATTCTACAAAATTTGTATACAGAATCTGTACACAGTCTTACTTTTTTTCGGAAGTTCGAATCTGAGTTCAAATGGCACGTGAAATGGCCCACGAGTCTTCCCCGAGAGGTCAACAGGCAAAAACAATGGGAGAGACTTTGTATCCCTCAAGCATCTACGTATGTAGCGCATCAAGCCCAACAGCCTGCCGTTCGACTGCGGGGCCATGTGCGTGTGGCTTCTTTGCTGTTGCGCCATGATATGTTCCAATGCTTTGCGACAACCGCAAAGGGCCGGGACCGTCTGTGCCTTGAACTCCTATCTTTCGCGACTGTGACACGTGCGCCGCATGCTGGGGTACATATCTCTACTTTCTTGTGCACAGGCAAAAGCTCTCAACAACATTCGGTCAGCGACAAAGAGCATTAGCGAAAGCGTCATGGTGCCCATGGAAGTAAACCTGGACATGGCGGTGGAGTACATCCAGGTACGTCGTGTAGTGAAACCTGACTTTCTCAAAGGTCTTGAGTCAATCTTGCTCAAAAGCATCAGAAACTCGAGCGTTCAAGCGCGTCGATGGCCGCAATATGTCCTGGGTGACGTCTTCACCAACACCAACGCCCACCGTGCGTTTCCCAGCATCGGGGGACGCAATTTTTTTACGGTACCTTGATGCCCTCGTTCGTTATTGTCGGCGCGTGTTGCCCGCGGTGTCTTCTCTGTTTTTTTTTTTTTGCCGTCCAATCAACGAGCAGGCGGACGAGCTGGTTGAAGTCACCCCGACAAAAATCCGCATGATGAAAAACCCCCAGATGGCGGGGAAGTCGAAGTAGAGGAAAGAACAGCAGTACATACCCTTGGCGAGGATATTTTAAGCTTGATATTTTAGGAGGGGTTACAGGGTTAGTCTATAGGGTTAAGGGGTTATGTAACCTTCCGTCCGTCTCAACGTGACATGTTCTCGCGAAGGTGGTCCGGGAAAACTCGTGTTGGTGACGTCGACGAGCGGGAGATTTTTGCTGTTCAGAACTCGACATGTCCGTGGAAGTTCTCATCCATATACAAATTCCCAACACTGGCCTAGGCAGACGTTTTTGTAGGGCTTCGAACCGTATTGGCAAGAGTATTTCAGAGCCGTTGGCTGGTGTTCAGGGGTGTGAGGCCGGGCGGGGTCGGCGAAGACAGTGGCAGTTCAAGGACTTCTTGACTCGCTTGTTGCTCCTGGGTAAATATTGTTTGCTGCAGTCCAGCACTTTGGGGTTTGATGTTGTGGTCTATGTCTGCACTAAATAGGATCTAGCGGATCATTTGTTATATCGGAACGAGAACAAAAAATCTACTGTCGTACCAAATTCTCACACTTGTTTCAGCCCTCTGCTGAAAAGTGTTCAGACTATGGCACGAAAATATGATTTGAGAGAAGAGACGCACCGCATCCTTTCGTGTACACCCCGCCCCGCCCCGGGTACGACTCTGCTGCTCATTTTTCCGTGCACAACAAGATTTGCCCCATAATAATGGAATCCACGCTTTGCTTGTTTTTCCTGCAGGAACCATGATAGTGCCGCACGCTTGCTTGTTTTTCCTGCAGGGACCACGATAAATAATGCCGCACATGTCTTCGTGTTTAGGCGTTGATACTAGAGACGACGTTTGGAGGATAAACTATAGGCTTAGCGCGGGTCATGTTTTTCTTTTTTTTGGAGTGGAGGTGTTCGCATTCCCGGGATGTGCAAGTGTAACAAGTGGGGACCGGTTGAGACTTGACAGTCTCGGGCAACCCATGGTCTGGTTTGTTCCCACACCCAATGACCTTGAGGGCTTGTCAGAAAGTGAAGGAAGGCTCTGTTTGGCCTTGGAGAGATCGACTAATTTCGTGTGCGTAGATACCGGGCGGAACACAAAAAATAAATAAAAATATAACTCAAGTGGGGCAGCAGCCGTGGGCACACGGAAATTCATGCCTTTCCCTACAGAAGACACTGGTTCCTACGAAGAAACGGTGAAGAACCTGGTTCTTCGACTGCCGTTCGTGCGTCCTTGTCCACGCTACCCCCACGCTGTCGAGGGGGTCCTTCCCCTCGCCCTCTCGCTACGCAGTCGGGGATGTTGAGTCAGACCCTTGTGCCTCGTTGGTGTCTTCACATTGAAAACCGGTCCGGCCTCTCTACCCAGTACCTTCTTCTGTTCAGTCCATTGGGATGGTTTATTACCTGTGGATGGCCGGCGTTTCCCTACTCTGCGATGGTATGACTCCCCCCCCCACCCTTGCTGCAACACTGAGACTCAAGTTATTTCCTCTCACTACCGATCTGTTTTCTTCCTGTCTCGCAAAAAACAAAAACATATTATATTATGATACGGCGCGTGCGCAGCAGCATGCGAAAGTCTCCAGCACAAGCCCTTCTGTTGTATTAATTCGAAAGGGTCTAGTCTTTCTTTGCAATAGATGTCTATCTCCGCAAACCCAAATAACTCGTGTCCCAATCATCACCGTCGACGGACCGGCTTGTACCTTATCCATTACAGGTCATCATCGAATCGAACACGAGCGACCCAGTCATCGAATCGAACCGAACGACGCAATCATCGAATCGAACTCGAACGACGCAATCATCGAATCGAACCGAACGACGCAATCATCGAATCGAACTCGAGCGATGCAATCATCGAATCGAACCGAGCGATCCAGTCATCGAATCCAATCGAGCGACGCAGTCATCAAGCGACGCAATCATCGAATCGAACCGAACGACGCAATCATCGAATCGAACTCGAGCGATGCAATCATCGAATCGAACCGAGCGATCCAGTCATCGAATCCAATCGAGCGACGCAGTCATCAAGCGACGCAATCATCGAATCGAACCGAACGACGCAATCATCGAATCGAACTCGAGCGATGCAATCATCGAATCGAACCGAGCGATCCAGTCATCGAATCCAATCGAGCGACGCAGTCATCAAGCGACGCAATCATCGAATCGAACCCGAGCGATCCAGTCATGTAATCGAATCGAGCGACCCGGCCGCAGCGGCGGTCGACGTGCACTTGTTCACCACCGCCATCAGGTGCTGATTCTCCAGGGCAGCAGCCACCCGTTCCTTGTCGCCCAACTGCTTATTAACTGTGGAAAAAAAACATAGCGGCAGGGCGGACGGAGGATGGATGGTTTAAGGACACAAACAATTCGTTGCGTCTTTCGCTGCCTTTCCCATCTCCGTAGTAGGCGTTGTCATGCTGTATCGTTACGGCGAGTTTCAAAAGCGATTCACGCGGAGCAAGAATATCGCTGGGTGCTTCGCTTAGGGAGTGGCGTGGTATCAGGCGTCATCTTGGTGTTGCGCACCGGCAGACCTGCGGCAGCGCAGCTCGTGTGTTTGTTATGACAGGAGTACCGCGTAGGTGGTGCTACACCTCTGCAGTCGATGGATGAGCAACTGCGTTGAGAACAACAGCAGCAATCACGATACAGCAGCAACAGTGTTAACCAGGGATCATGGTACTGCCATTAAATATTACTAATGAAGCAGTACTGGATCTCGATATACCCCGGTGTAGTGACAAGCAAGAAAAAGAACATGGTACTGTGTATCGGCACACCGTACTATTGAGGATTGGGGGATATACAACCTTCACCATAGGTAGCCAGGTCCCATGACACGCGGTTTTCACCACGGTATCTCGGGACCCGCACTACTCGGGACCATGGTACGGTATGTCGGGACAACCGCTCACTCCTGTACCTGCTTCTTCTGATGAGTGGGTGCCCGGAGCTATTCTAACCGTGACCTTGAACCGGGCAGGAAGCGACCGAAGCAACTTGACGCGAATGCAAAGGCCGATCAGGGTCGCCATGCTGTGGGCCCGAAAAAGCACGGCACACGGGAGCCACGAGGGTGAAATTTCAGGCGGAATGACATCGCGGTTGCAGCAATCACGTATTGACGGACAGTTCCTGTGGCGCGATCATGAGGTTGCACAGTAGGCTCTCTTATCTACAGCTTCTACGCTGGGGGAGGTAGGAAAATGCGAAAAAAATGGATGATTCATGTCGGACAACCAAGAGCGAAAACAGTTGAGGACAATTTTGCAACGACAGATGAAACATTTGCGCAACCATGCCGTTCATGACGCGGCTCGAATTCCGCACGGCCACACCGCCTGACCTGCACCAATGTTCGTGATCTATGGTTATCAAATTGTTTCTCTAGCGTGTCATAACGGAAAGATTTGGATCATGCAGAAGACATTCAATACGCTGCGGTGTTGTGCGCTGTGTTGTACAACAAAGTGAAAAAAAAAAGCTGCAACGGACGCCGTTGGTTTCTGCTTTCGGCAAAAGAAAGAAACGGGCAAGCACAAATACAAGGGGAGAATCAACGTGTATTTAGAGCAGCAGCCTTCGGAGGGCTTTTCTATCAAGAAACCATGTTGGATAAAGCATGCGATCGGGGGAGTTGGGTTAGGGTTAAGGAGACGGTCTGCGTACCCCCTGTGTTTCCTCAAAGATTGAACTTCTCGCGAAGGCGCGTACAGCGCGAGGATCGTCTGGACACGAGCAGGAAAGCGACTCAAGCAAGAGGCAGGAAAGAGACACCGGCGAACGACAGGCGAAGCCCTTTTTAAGGGCTCCATGTTGAGCGTATGGAGACGAGCGGAATGGCCTAGACTATCTGTCGTTGAGTTCTATTGGCTTGCGAACCTTTCGGGTCCGTTTTTTTCCGAATACCTTTGTCTGGGTAGGAAGTTAGCCGGTGACCACGGGAATCGACCCCGTAGAGTGTTTTTTGTGAAAACAACAACAGCAACAACAACATCAACATGTGCCTCGCTTCCGTTCCTGGCATGGGTGGAAAGCGCTAGTTCGTGCGTACACAGAGGGAAGAGAGTGCTGCACTCTTTCTCCCATCGAAGGCAAAGTACCGCAGGAGGGGGGTGGGTAAGGGGGAAACGCTTCTGTGTGACCACGGGTTGGAGTAAACGACACAAGTTCTGTGAGTCCTGATTGGAAGTGAAGACAATAAACAAAAAAAACGTGAGAGAATGCGACGGCCGAAAGGGCAATGGGACGTCGGGACCACAACAAGGCGCAGCGAAGTTGGGACAGCGACACAGATATAGACGTACAGTTCTGCTGTAGGTCGAATCCTTTGCATGAAAAGCCGTCCGATAGATCGATTTCTTCTAGGTGACCGCACGCACGTTCTGGCGGCGTACGCTGCTGCTGCTGCTGAATGGAGCTTCAAAAGTGGGTTTGTAATACTGCTAAAAATGACGAGGCGCGATGCACGCTTTGGGGTGTGTTTCGTGGATGCCGACGGGCGCGCGTGAGCACGGGTAAACGCTGAGACACCGTTTGAAACGGGCACCAGGGTACAGGCGAACCGAAAGGCTTGGGGTGTCCTTTCAACCTTGTTGCTGCTGCTGCTGCTGCTGCTGTCGTTGTTGTTGTTGCTGTTGGCTTCACAAAATAAAAAAAAAACGTTCCGGTCTCCGCTCACCTTCCAATACCCATACTGGTCCAACTGACGCGGACGCCTTCCTTCCGTGGTCACAGATTCTAATTACTGTATTCAAAAACCTCGAAATCTTGACAAAAAAAAAAGCGCATATTATATTGCCTTCAACGAGCGAATTTGCATAAAACCCCCTTCCGCGAAAATAGCACGTTGAACCAGCCGTGATTCTTGTCGCGTTGGCCCGCAAGGGGGCGTAGGCGCGACGGTGCAGCGAACATATAAAATAAATAATATCACAAGGATGAATAGATTTTAACGCTTCCCTCTGTGTCACCAACCTGCAGTGCGGGATGGTGGGCGTGAAGAGGATGACCACAGTGTTGTTGGCATCATCCACGGTAACAGCGTCCCGCTGCCCGAAGCGTCCCCGAAGAAGTAATACCGAAGTTTCAAAGGCGCGCGCGGGGGGGGGAGGGTGTACTCATAGTCGTGCATGCCATAGTCGTTTTACCATTGACCTCGCATCCCTACAAAGCCGGGACGGAGCACGCCGGGTTCTCACCGGACCAGGCTCTCACATCACCAAGCGCGAAGCGCCGTGAGATATTCGGCGAGTCGCATGAAGGGTGCGCTGCATCCTGCTAAGGATGTTCGGCATCTTGTGCTTATTTCCTTGCGTACGGACGACAGCTGCGTACGACTTAATTTATTTCTGGTGCTTCACTTCCAGAGACAGTTGTAAGCACTGTTGTTTGTTGTTGTTTTTCACATTAGCTCTATAGTCCACAAAAAATGGGGAGCCCGTGTTCTCAAAACCCGGCACATACGACGCCGCGGGAAAAAAAAACAAAAATAGGGTACAAACCACCCGGAAAAAGAAAACAGAATGATAGAAAGAAAATAACAGGTATCGCACCGACCGTTCGAGAAAATTGTGTAACTGCCTCGAGGGTGCTTGATCATTTCAACACAACGTGGTGCGATCATCCCCCTTGCGTGGAGTGAGGGTTCTCCACCCCGCACAACATGATCTACTCGACCACCATTGTGGTTACCGCCAAAAAAAAAAGAGGTAAAAAAAAACGGAAACCTGGTTGCCGAGTTCACGAAGTAAGTTGGGTTGTTTTACAACGTCGTTTCCAAGCGACGAAAACACAATCCCGATGGCAAACACCGAACACCGAGGTGGGGGGTGGGGGCGTACTCTTCTGTTTTGCATGCCTTAGCGTTAGCGGTTAGACCATTGACCACGCGTCCTCGAGAGGACGGAGCATTGTTCCCACAGGACCGATCACCGATGGCCGATCGTTCTTTCTACTTCGCCAAAGGTGGCTCAAAAATGTCTTCACTAGTCTATCCTAACGATATCCCTTCCCGCCTTCTCAACCCACCTCCTATGCCCCAGTACAGCTACCGTCCTTTCCTCTCTATTCCATGCCTCAAACATCTCCCTGTACGTTCCATCTATTTTTCCCACCTCAGTCACATACACTTCCCTCTCCTTGTACAACGGACATTCCGCGACTACATGAACACGGTCTTCGCATTCGAAGCCGCAATCACATTTGAACTCGTCGTCTTCCTCGTCTACCGTCCTATGTCTTCGTCGACGTTCTCGAAGGCCTATGTCCCCGGTNACCGAGGGGGAAGCTTTTTTTACAACGTCGTTGCCAGGCGACGAAAACCCAACCCCGATGGCAAACACC